ACTAACTTTTAGCGCTCTCTCTTAGCACTAAATCAGCCTAATCACTCACAACACTGGACTTAGCAGCCCCAAGCACTCTTAAGAAGAAGAATAGAGAGAAAGGAATAATTAGCACTTGAATACTAGAATGCTTTGATTCAATGCTTGGGTAAATACAAATGAGGGGAGGAGCTCCTATTTATAGCCTCCTCCATGCCTTTGGCCTTTCATCTAGCCAATGTGGGACTATACAATGTCCAAGAGAAGCTTCTAGATTACAATATAATATTAATATAATTAGACTATTCTAACGTACATAAATAACTCTAGAACATTCTAGGTTATTCTTAGATCCTCTTTAGAGCTTTTCCTTCTTGCTCTCCCCTGAATGTGGTGGAATCTTCTAGAGCCCCTTTGATGACTCCTCATATTCGGACCTTCTCTAGAATCTTCCATCCTCTGTTCGTCTCGATGATTTCTCGAATGTCGCGGAGCGTGACAAAGCGGAGGCAATGACAATCTTGTTCATCTATGAGACTGCTTCATGGCTCCCTCTACTGCCGCTTCAAATCGAAATCACTGGCTCCATCGGTTTGAGGGTGTTGAAATTCTGAATAATATGAAATAAAGTGGAATACTTCGAAATATTTTTATTGATATGACCGGGGTATAAATAACCCTCACATGAATCTTATAATAGGAAAAATAATAAAAACAAATGATATGAAAGGTAAGATATATTAGATATCTCCAATAATTAATTTGTATTATTTATTAGAAGATAATAGGAAACAATATAAATTAGGAAAACAAATAATTTCTAATATATGAAAAGAAAATATCTCCTTATATTAAGGAAAGAATTTATTCCTCATAACTAGGAAGGAATAAATTATTTATTTCTTATTATAAGTCTTATAATAATTTATTCCTTAAATTATTTATTTCACGTCATCCTCGGCTGATCCGAACTCTGCGCTTCGCTCTTTCATTCGCCGCGCTTTCCACGTTGTCGTTGACTCTGTTCGCGATCGTCACTCCACTAATGCTGCAAATACAACTCAAATAAAACCGTAATAAAACCCGAATAACACCGGGATAACATCATGACCGCTCCACAAGACCATGCAGCGGGTTTCTGTTGGTCGCATTTTTCACATATACGCCCCATCAACCCACGATTTCATATGTTGAGTAGAATGGCTCCTTTTTCTGATTCGATCTCGACCGTTGAATCTAAACACACAAAAATAGACGACATCGGGTTTAGGGTTTAGGGCCGCGCGTTGTTATTGGGGGGGGGGGGGGGGGTTTGGGGGGGTTTTCGGAGTTATTAAAGGTGTTCTGCGGAAGTTATTGGAGAGTTTCACCGTGCGGTGTTATTGGGGATTATTACTGAGTTATTGCAACGTTATTAGAGTTGTTCTGTGACGATTATTAATGTGAAACCGCAAAGGTTATTGGAGCGGT